AGAAGTGTTCAAAATGCATTTGAACAAATTTGACACTTTCACTAAACTAGGAAATATACATTGCGCTCGGTCACATCAGATTTTCTTAATTTTTGATATTGTTTTCCTCCTGGACGGTAAAATGCAGAATTCTGAAATTTTAGTAGCTTTTTGACATAAGCAAATAATTTATTTCCAAATTTTTATAACAGTAAAAAGCTGACGGCAAATTCCATGCCTGAGAACTCGACGATTATTTTCAACTTTTGCTTTCAACTTTTTTCTTTGTTTTTATCCTAAATATGCCATGAATTGAAATATTACAGTATTTTAAGGAAGGTGACTGAAAAAGCTAATAGAGCTTTTTAGAAAAAGGATTTTCAATTGTTGAACAGAAAAGTGCTACTTGACTTTTGATTTGGTTCGAATTTAATATATTTGTGCTTACTAAAATAGTGTGTAAAACAAACGGTGAAGCCCCTCAATATCATACGAATACATTAAAAATGTTGTTTCATTAATAAAGTCAAGGAACATGAATGTGGCATCTATAGGAATATTGAAATAAAATTCATAAAATTTCATTATTGTTTTATAGTTCTGTGCAAATCTTTGTTTGCGGTGATTTTATAATATAATGCTTTAAATTTAAATAAAGTTGGGTCAAACTAACGGTTTGTATTGTAGCACTTTTCCCTTCAACAAGTGAAAATACTGCTTTTAAATACAGTCTACCACACTATTAAAATTATTTTCATTCATATACGAAACTATTTCTAGGATTGCATGTATCAGGATGAACGATTTATGCAGTCTTTGAAATAAAGCAAAAATTAATTTAAAGAGTGGTTATACATAATGCTCGATTTTAAGCGTTAATTACGTGAGTTAAGAAAAACAGTTACATTTTTTAATGTCCTAGAATTTACAGTTAGCTTTTTGTGTTTACAGAAATTTGAAAAAGCTTGCGGTCAAGGTCAAAAACTTAAATTTTACAAATTTCAAGAGGTGATAGAAGTTTTGTAAACATGTCCGCGGACGGTCGGACAGAGTGAAACTAATAAGGACTTTTTTCAAAAATTTTTTGGAAAAGTGCTAAGAAAAAGTAATGAAAAACACTACTGTTTCTAAAATTTGATATTTTAACCAAAACATTTACTAAACACTAAATTAAAATGAATTAATTAATTTTATTGTAAATAAGAGTACTTGTTTTCATCTGCAAATTTTTAATTTAAAAGCTTTTAGATCTACTAAATAATTTTAAAAATTATAAAAAATGAAAAAAGTTATACTAATATAATACAATAAATAAAAATATTTTTTAATTATTTGATGTGGGTTCCTCAAATCGATCTATATTTTTCTATTTTAAGTTGCGGTTTTAATTTATTGATTTAATTTTAAAATAATTAATATTTTATAAAATTGAAAATCTACATAATTGCTTTGAGGTACAGTTATTTTCTATATTGAATAATTAATAATTTTATATAATTTATTAGCATTGTCTCAAATCTGAAAGGCATAATGTAACAGACTTTAAAATTGAAAAATTATGTAGCAATTTTAATCTAAAGGCAAAAGTTTTTGAAAAAGATGAAAGTTAATTTCATTTGGTTTTATTTGTTTATCCTGATGGGTTCACGAAAAGGTGAACACGAATAGAGGAATATTTTACAACTGACTCTATATTCAGAGGTCATGAAAAAATTTAAACATATGATATTAAAATATAATGTTAAATTTACCCTCTACCTTGTCTCTTTGCCTAGCCCGCGGCCTGCCCGTTCCTTTACTTAACAATGGCTAATACTCGAATCTCAGTGGCTTAGACATCTCATACTTTGGAGTTTGATGCTTTTTACAATATCTTCTCCATATATTAATTGATTCAACTCTTCGTTTGTACGTAGAAGCTATGTTCCATCTTCAAGTTACTTGGCACCAAAACTCTTTTTTAATATTTTGTGTTCGAAGATTTTTAAATTACTTTCATCATCCTGAGTTGTGACCATGCCCCGCATCCATAAGTTGCTATTGGTCTGACGATTGTTTTGTGTAAAATGGTTTTTAAGTTTCTTCATAATAGTCGAGACTGAAATAATTTATTTGCGTAATAGCACCGATTTGCGTTTAGAATTTCTTTGTTTATGCAAGTTCCCTAATGTTGCCTTTTAAGTGAAATGTTAAGCTTCTTTAATTTGTTCCACTTGTCTTTTTAGCACTTTTCCAAAACTTTTTCAAAAAAAGTGCTTATTAGTTTCATTCTGTCCGTCCGTCCGTCCGTCCGTCGGTTTATCCGTGTATCTGTTTACAAAACTTCTACACCCTTGAAGATAGAAACCTGAAATTTTATATGTACATAGATCTTCACCAGAAACTAATTTACCGTAGAACATAATTTTTACATACCTCCCCCCTCTAAAAGTTATACCCCCCAAAACCCTAAAAATTCCATTTTTCAACTACTTACTGTAGCGGAAAAATATGCATTTTTCAAATTTTGCAAACGCAGAAAAGCAGAGGGTTGCTTTTTCTATCACGGCATACTATACTTGAACTTTAAAAAAACAAAATGGCGGTTAGAACTTACCGTTATATAAAATCCGTTTTTTTTTTCAAATTTTTGATGTTTATTTTTTTTTGATGAACTATTTTAGTAGCTGTTACAAATAGTTCATTTCGTTAGAAGAAAATTTTTTTCCATCTCCACCCCCCCTCAAGTTATCGCCTCTTGAAATTTAAATTTTTGACACTTTATATTTCCGAAACCGTAAGCTTTTTCAAATTTCTATAAACGCAAAAGACTAACGGTAAATTCAATGACAAAAAAAAATATAATTATTTTTCTTAACTCACGCAACTAACTCTAAAATCGAGCATTATGTTAACCCCCCTTTAAATTAATTTTTGCTTTGTTTCAAAGACTGTGTAAATCGTTCATCCTAATATATGCAATCCTAGAAATAGTTTCATATATGAATGAAAATAATTTTAATAGTGAGGTATACATAGGATGTTTTTCAAAGCAGTATTTTCACTTGTTGAAGGGAAAAGTGCTACAATAAAAACCATTGGTTTGATCCAACTTTATTATCATTAATTTTTTTTTCTTAAGATATAGTGTAGTAGCTTATTTCCGCTTTTGATTATAGGTTTTGTGATTTGATATTGAGTTTCTGTTTAAAATTTTTTGCCTCGCTTCATTTTCCATTTTAAAAGCTAACTAGCTTTCGTTATCAAACCAATCTGTGTTTCTTTCGATCGCTTTGCTTTCTACTACTTCGTTAGCAACTGTGTAAAGTGTATTTTCGATTCGTTTCCACTCTTTATTTATAGATTCATTTTTATACCCTGCACTTCGTGAAGGGTATATTAACTTTGGTATGGAGTTTGTAACTACTTGAAGGAGTCATCTGCGGTATGGACATATATATGTATTCTTGCTCAGCGTAAAATTCTGCGTCGATTTAGACATGCCCGTCCGTCCGTCCGTCCGTCCGTCCGTCCGATCGCACGATAACTCAAAAACGAATAATGCAATCGACACCAAACTTTCACAAGTTTTTTCTTTTGTGCCAAGGGCGAACCCTATTGTTATTGGACTAAGTCGGACAACGGGTTCGGGTAGCTGCCATACAACTCCAAGAGTTTATTTTAAATATTTCAAAAACTAATAAAGCTATAAATATAAAATTTTGTATACGTGTGTCCAATTATATTCTACACATGCTTTAAAAATTATAATGGGATACCTGCACCGGTTCGGGTGGCTGCCATACAACTCCAACGGCAAACTTTTTATATTCGGCAAAATAATAAAGTCAGATTCATGAAACTTGGCAGTCATGTGTCCAATTATAGGTCAAATATATTTCTGAAGTTTTAGAGGAATTGCTTTACAGGTTCGGGTATCTGCCATACAACTCCAGAAGCTAATTTTAAATATTTGGAAAAATAATAAAGTCTGATTCATGAAACTTGGCAGTCATGTGTCCAATTACGGGTCAAATATATTTCTGAAGTTTTCGTGGAATTGCTTGACAGGTTCGAGTAGCTCCCATACAAGTCTAAAAGCTTATTCTTAATATTTGGAAAAATAATAAAGTCAGATTCATGAAACTTGGCAGTTGTGTGTCCGATTATAAATCAGATATATTTGTGAAGTTTTGATGGAATTGCTTGACAGGTTCGAGTAGCCCCCATACAAGTCTAAAAGCTTACTTTAAATATTTGGAAAAATAATAAAGTCAGATTCATGAAACTTGGCAGTCGGATGTCCAATTATAGGTCATACATGTCCGTGAAGTTTCTATAGAATGATTTCACAGGTTCGAGTAATTGCTATACAATAACGAAAGGTGCAGGGTATAATTCAATCGGTTTATACCGATTGAAACGTTTTTACTTGTTATTTTCTTGGGTTTTATTGTTGGCATTTATCAACTCGTACACTTGGGACTGAAACCGTTCCCGAATTTCAGGTCTTTTTAGCTTTTCCGCGTTCTTCTTAATTCTCTTAACGTCTTTTTCTTTAGCAGTGTTCACAATTCTTTTTCTAAGAACCAGTTTTACCAGAAACTGTTCGCTGTCACGGTTTGCTCCTCCCCATGATCTCCTCGAAGAGATCAATACGTGATGAATTTAGTTAACCACATGTACACCCGACACCCTCTCTGTTCTCTTATATATATTCTTGATAATAACAGCGATCAACAAAGAATGTTTTAGCAATCGTAAACAGGAATGGTTAGAATAATTTTCAAAGTTCTTTTCGATAATATTTCTATAACATTGAAGCGTTTTGGTTTCCTTTTTTCATCTACATGAAAGTATTATTACTGTTTTAAAAAGCGAAATGTATTTGGGAATTTAATTTGTAAAATGAAAAGCGGAACATGTTTTTTATAAGTAAAATTTAAGTGATTTTTTAATATTAACACTTCGTTACACAAAGAACACAATAACACATAAATAAAAAATTTATTAATTTTCCTCTTATATTACTTTTTTTGCAGGATCCTTAAAAACACTTGCTTCATTAGATATTGAAAATAAGCCTCATTATTGGTTAACAGTATGTGCTCAAGATCAAGCTGTAGTACCACTTCATTCTTGCGTTCAGGTGAGTACTCATTCTTTTTTTCTATATTTTCAATAAAAATTCACGTAAATTTAATGTTCGAATACTGAGTCCCACAAATAAATTGCTGATGTCAGAATATTAATATATTTTTTATGTAAATATGTGAGCACATGTATATGATTATATAATAATTTATTTTGTTCTCATATGTGCCTACGTTGTAAATCTGTTCATATAAATGTGCACAAATAATCACACAAAGTAATTTGATTACAATTTCTATTTTGAATAAAGAATGAAATTTACAAACGTTCTGAAAATATCAATTCGCTTTCAAATTATTATTATTGTGGGGATTCATATAAACGTGACAGACATATAATTTTAAAAGTAGGATACATGGTGGTTTTTTGTTGTTATTAAAATGGCACTTACATACATTCAGTTTTAATATTGTTTAATTTTTCTTTTTGCAAAAATATTCGTAATAATATTTTTAATATGTATAAATGCATTTTTTATTTTAATTCCATAATTGGTGCTTTATGTCAGGTTTATGTTCAAGTCCTTAATGAAAACGACAATGTACCATTAACGCAAAATCCAGTTTACTACGCATCTATACCTGAAGGGAGTCCTGCTGGTAAAAAAATTCTGCAATTAATTGCTGAAGATCAAGATATCGATCCAAATCACCGTATAACATATCGTATAATATCAGGGAACCCCGGAGAATTTTTTGCAATAAATAGTACTACGGGTAAGTTTAAATTTGTTTTTATAAATATGTTATAACGATTTAAGAATTGATTGCAGTTTAATTTTCTGTTTGATTGTTTTATATAACTAAAATATTCAACAAAATTTACGAAAATGTTACTTAGTTAAATATTGTTAGACTTAGTTCAAGTCGTCCATGTCTTTAGAGTAAAAACTTTTTTATTTTACTATATATACTATTATCTTATTTTATGCTGCCATAATATTGAAACATAATAAAATGAAACAAAATTGTCGACTTACTATGTGTAGCTGTAGAAAATTACAGTTAAAAAGGTAACGACAGTTTTTTCTATAAAAAAAGTTATAAGCAGATTTTTTCGTTAATTTTAAAAGAAATCTTTTTCTCCTACATAACTCGGATTTTTTTCACCGGAACAAAATTTCTTCATTTCTATATCAAACTCTCTATCTCTATGAGTTCTATCACACAGCATTATTCGTTTTCTTATTCAAAGGTATTTTTTTGTGTATTAACTAATTAAATTAACTAGCAATCAAACTTAATCTTAATGCTATAGCATAAAGTTTTGTTAAAATTGTGATTGTAAATCCTCCCAAATTTATTTAAAATTATTTTAACAAAATGTGCAAGCTATATAAGAAATATAAATTTTACTGAATAAAATTGTTAAAGCGATTTGTGCTACTTTAGAATAGATATAATATAAAATATACATATATAGACTTGGCACATAAGAATATAGATATAACTGACTGTGTCAACTCTGCATAACCCGGACGCATAAATAATTTTAAATATCGGAGATAATTGACATACAGTTCTCTAGCTTTTTAGCACTTTTCCAAAAAATTTTTGAAAAAAAGTGCTATTAGTTTCACTCTGTCCGTCCGTCCGTCCGTTAGTCCGCCCGCCCGTGAACAGCACGATATACTATAGTTAAACTTTAGAAAAACAAAATGGCCGTTCAAATTTATCGTTACCTAAAGCCCGTTTTTTCCAAATTTTTGATGTCGTTGTTCTTCTAGATTCCAGCCTGTAGAAGCTTGAAATTTTAGGGGCTTTTAGATTCTAATAAATCCTTCATTTCGTTTGAAGAAAAATTTTTTCCATGTCCACCCCCTCTTAAGTTATCGCCTCTTGAAATTTGTAAAATTTGAATTTTTGACACCTTATTTTTCCGAAACCGCAAGAATTTTAAAATTTCTATAAACGCAAAAAGCTAACGGTGAATTCCATGACATTAAAAAATATAATTATTTTTCTTAACTCTCACAATTAACTCTTAAAATCGAGAATTATGCTAACCCCACTTTATCTTAATTTTCGGTTTATTTCAGAGACTGCATAAATCGTTCATCCTAAATATACACAATCCTAGAAAAAGTTTCGTTTATGAATGAAAATAATTACTATTATTTATATAATATTAATTATATAAATAATAGAATGAAATTGTGTAAACAATAGGTAGGTTATGTGATGGCAACAAATTTTGCATATCGAGTTTTCGGTGGGAATGCACTTCTCAATAGTAGGGAAGTGTAAATAAACTATTTTTAGCAACCTGTCGGTCTGTCGGTCTGTGTGTGCACGCGTGTATCTCAAGTTCAGCTGAACCGATTTTGATGAAATTTTACATGTAAGTTTATTTCCACCATGGCACGGATTGACCAACTTTTGGAATATATCAGTCCTCGGGAACTGCACTTTTTAGCGGGTCTGTTTTACATTTTTGAACATTTTAAAGAAAATATTTAATTGATTTATTTGAAATTTTATATATAAGCTCTATCTAAAAATCTAAACGTTTACTACGGGCCAAATATACATTTTTATGTACATAAAGAGAAATAACCAACCGATTTCATTGAAATTTAGTATTTAAATTCTTCGTATTAAAACAATGATCATATAAATTTTTTGGAAAGATCAGGGCTCGAAAATTGATTTGACGGAACGAATTTATGGAATTTCTTGAAATTTGATATTTGAGTTCTGGTTGTTACCAAAACTAACTGGCGAACATTTCAGAGAATTCGGGTAGCACAAAGCGAAACTCTATTAAGAGCCAAATTTACATTTTTCTAGGTATGTTAACTATAAGCTTAATAATGTCCTAAAAATTGGAAAGAAGTATTTAACAGACATTTTTATAATATTCTGTAACACTTTCACTTAACTGGACAATACACATTGCGGTCGGTTATGTGCTGACCACATCAGATTTTTTTAATAGTGGATATACATAGACTGTATTTAAAAGCAGTATTTTCACTTGTTGAAGGGAAAAGTACTACAATACAAACCATTGGTTTGATCCAACTTTATTATATGTCTAGGACTATTTTACTCGTTTATGATAGTTACCGTATAAGCCCGTATAATATAAAATAGTTTTACTAAAAATGATTGCAAAATTCGTTTGTTAAATATTTCAACTTTATAGCTTTAATACTAACTGAGCTATGATCAAGCAACTTAAGAAGTTGTATGGAAACTACTACAAGCAGTTGTGAAATTTCATAACGTGCCTTGTAATAAATTTGCTTGTGCAAATTTTCAAAACTATGCTATATCTTGGCTATATCTCAGAAACTGTAAAAGCTGTGGTTTTGAAATTTCACACAATCAAATATATTAATAGGGCCAATGTGTCTGATAAAAGTCGTTGAAATTGCTTGGCTCTGCCTGGTGACAGCCATATAATTTCATTAGTAGTTTGGTAATATCTTAGAAAATATTGAAAACGCAGTACTGAAATTTTGCATAAGCTAATATGGTAATACGACAACTTAAAGTCATAGTCCGTTCCATAGTCAGCTATTACATATTTGTTCGAACATAGGATAACAAATTCGTACAGCTATCACAAATTCGTACGGTTGACACAGTCAACTCTATTTTTTCTTGTTTTTTTTTTTTAATTTTATATGGAGAACTATTTAACAAAATGACAAAATAGTAAAATCTTTTCAAGAAAATCAAGTATTAGAAACTCGCAATATGATGGGATGGGCTTTAACTTGGATTAGATATCAAATTTACATTTCAACTCATAAATGCATATACAAACGCTTAAAGGCTTAATCAGCAACTTTGATTTTTTTTTATTTGAACTATATGTTTGTAAATAAAATAAAATTAATTATAAAAAATTAAATTTTTCGAACTTTTTTTAGCTTCAAGATTCTAAGAAAAAAATAATTTTTAAAGCGCGTTTATACTGCCTCTAAAATTAGTTATATTTAGCTAAATGCTGAAATGGATAGAATTCGAAAGTTAATTTGACAAATTTATATGTTTTGACATTTGAAAACTTATCTTAAAATTTAAAACTTACATAAAATTTAATTAATACATGCTTAAGTAAACGCAATTTTTATACTTTTATACTGTTGAAGTGAACTCTTTTGTCTATGAAAGAAAATAATTGAAATTTTTTAAATGTAATATTTTTCCTTTGCAAAATAGAATTCATAATATGAATATCCACAGAAAAAACCAAATTCATTTTTGATGTCACCTTAAAGTTTAAAATGAAAATTACTTATTTCGTAGCTTTTTTTAATTATTAAATTGTCTGTATTACTAAATAGATGCATTTCTAATTCAAACAAACCAATATAACCAAATAAAAATCAATTAAAATATTAAAAATTGAATATTTACGAGAATTTTAATTTTATTATTTGTGAAATAAGCCAATATAACTTTTACCCAAAAGCCCATTTTTAAGATATTAAACAATATTTGAAAAGAAAAAAAATCTAAAAAAGAAAATTCACCTGGTTCTGATTCACAGATATGATTATTTCTAGAGTACATTGTTAAATAAGCAATAATGTTAAATAATATTAATGTATTCGATATATTTTCAAAAATACCAAAAATATCAAAAAACAAGTAAAAACGTTTCAGTCGGTATAAACCGATTGAATTATACCCTGCACCTTTCGTTATTGTGTAGCAATTACTCGAACCTGTGAAGTCATTCTATAGAAACTTCACGGATATGTCTGACCTATAATTGGACATCCGACTGCTAAGTTTCATGAATCTAACTTTATAATTTTTCCAAATACTTAAAATTAGCTTTTGGAGTTGTATGGCAAGTACCTGAACCTGTCAAACAATTCCATCAAAACTTCACAAATATATCTGATCTATAATCGGACACACAACTGCCAAGTTTCATGAATCTGACTTTATTATTTTTCCAAAAATTTAGAATAAGCTTTTAGACTTGTATGGGACCTACTCGAACCTGTAAAGCAATTCCACCAAAACTTCAGAAATATATCTGACCTATAACTCGACATACAACTGCCAAGTTTCATGAATCTGACTTTATTATTTTTCCAAATATTTAAAATAAGCTCTTGGAGTTGTTTGGCAAGTCCCCGAACCTGTCGAGCAATTCCACTAAAACTTCACAAATATATCTGATCTTTAATCGGACACACAACTGCCAAGTTTCATGGATCTGACTTTATTATTTTTCCAAATATTAAGAATAAGCTTTAAGACTTGCATGGGAACTACTCGAACCTGTCAAGCAATCCCATTAAAACTTTAGAAATATGTCTGACCTATAATTGGACACACGACTGCCAAGTCTCATGAATCTGACTTTATTATTTTTCCAAATTTTTAAAATAAGCTTTTAGACTTGTATGGAACCTACTCGAACCTGTAAAGCAATTCCACCAAAACTTCAGAAATATATCTGACCTATAACTCGACATACAACTGCCAAGTTTCATGAATCTGACTTTATTATTTTTCCAAATATTTAAAATAAGCTCTTGGAGTTGTTTGGCAAGTCCCCGAACCTGTCAAGCAATTCCACTAAAACTTCAGAAATATATCTGACCTATAACTCAACACAAAACTGCCAAGTTTCATGAATCTGACTTTATTATTTTTCCAAATTTTTAAAATTAGTTTCTGGAGTTGTATGGCAGGTACCCGAACCTGTCAAGCAATTCCTCTAAAACTTCACAAATATATCTGAT